CGCCGTTATTGACGAGCGCGACGTCGCACGCGATGCCCACAGAAGCGGCGTATTACGATTCTCTTGTCACATTCCCGCTCCCAAGTGCTCTTGCCTTTTCAAGAAGGTTTGGAGCACATGGATAACATCAAATTTCAGCTATTTATAAGTTCCATACTAAATACGAACCTCAGCACTTGAAGCAAGCGGTACGACCTTTGTCTCGCCGGTCTTCTCGTACGTATCCAGGTCGATACCCATTTGTGGTGGCACGCTAAAGTTGTATGGAGAATCCTTATCTCGTTGACGTTCCTGAATAAGACTCCATTAGAGTCGCTCAACTGACAGTTATATTGTGATCATGCTGATCATTGCATGGCCGGTCCGCCATTACACAGTCGAGAGCTGGACCCTTGAAGGCTCTCTATGTCAAGCCAGAAGGACAAACCCCATAAACAGCTCCGTGTAAACCAAAACGGCGTTAATAACCTTGGAGAGGGGGGAGAGCTTTTAAGGACTTCTTGTGCAAATTAGAATCATAGGAATGGCCCCAGAGCCTTTTGCTTTTGCTTGAGCCTAAAGGGGGACGGGCTCCAGGGTAGATAATCCATTTTTTCAGAACGGTACTTCTGTTCGGATGCAATATATCTTAGTTTCGCAAGAGGACTCCTTTGAATGCCCCTCCTCCGCGAAGGTTATGAGCGCCAATGAAATGTCAAGTTTGATTTTAACAGGGCTAAAAAATGTCACCCCTCGTTCATCTATGCTAGAGATCCGCCGTTGTGGTCCCTCGCTCGTTATCCCAGAACAGGAACAGCCGATCTGTCATGGGTTAAGAGCTCGGCATTTAGCGGATGTTTTATTTCCCAGGCGGTAATTCGTCACACGCGTATGCGCGCGCTCAAAACATTACTCGCGTGTGCGACGTGCGCGCATCGTCGTTCGTCTCCCAGTAAAGTTCATCGTACTCTTAGCTTGGATACGGTAATGTGCTAAGATGACATCTGCCTAGAAACATTTATATTGTCGCCCTTATGCAGAATACGATGTCCTTTGAGATCATGAGCTTTTCTAGAATCCTTTGCGCTAACGAGATTGAAATAAGGACACCTAAAAAGAGGGGATAACAGGGAAATGGTAAGTACCAGATGGATTCCACCACATTCTGACAAGCCCGTACTCAGTAGACAGGCAACCCATCTCTTGGGTGGGAACAGGAACGGATCAGCACTGCAAAGACTGCTGCACTGACAACTAATTCTGAAGGACTTCACTCGCCTCAACGGGTACGATGTCTATAAAATTTGCCAAAGCATGACCAATTGGGCACTCCAGTTATAAAATGTAGGTGCAAAATTGCTGGTGCACTAGGTATGTCGATGGCATTCGAAATCACATTTCAACTGCCAATTCCAATCACGAATAATACGACAAAAAATGAGCAATTTCAAGATGATCGCCTTCAGCATTCACACAATTCTTCAGGCGCCATCTAGACATCATCCTCTAGATATCGTTTTCGCGATTCAGAAAACACTTTCAGGTTCAGTTCGGCTTGATAGGGGCACCGAATGTTAGTCAGCGAAGCATAAGGACCTTTGAATGCTTGCCTTACAAGCCTCACCAAAGTGGAACCTGTTAACGTTAACATGAACTAGCAAAATTAATCAGCGAATATGCAAAATGCCCCTCCAAAGCCAAACAGCGCCCAATTTCACCTGAGACCAGTCGCCAGCTTCATAAATCAAAGTAACTCGAGGGATAATCGCTGATCCTATTGACTAACATAAGGAGACCACAGGAATCAAAATGTTCTCAACCGTAATGGTATGGGGTAGTCACAGCGTAAAAAAATTTCTCTTGTTAATGGTCGAACATGGACGTCAAAATTCAATGCATAAATTTGTTAAAAAGTATTCTGGAAACTGACTCTATGGAACTGCATTTCTCACTCTACAGAATGATGCGTAGAGGTTTCTACCAAAAATCAGCATCGATACACAAAATCTGGTACACGAACGGTGCGAAAGAGCCTTTGTGACTTCATAGAGGCTGAGAAGGAGCTTACAATTTCGACTAACCCGATAATTTTTTGCATGGATCACTAAAAAGAAGGAAGCTGCTTCAATAGAAACATTTATCTGGACTCTCTTGAAACGGCGCTGAGGAACCGTGGGGAACAAGTCATAATCAGTGCTTACGCGCCATATGTGGAGCGTTTCAAACTTTTGAAGGGCTGCGTGGACGCTGAGGGCGAACATGTTGAAAGCTGCTAATTTTTCTTGATTTTCACGACTGTATTAAATTTCATCCATATTTTAGACTGATTTCTGGAAGATGTTCCCGAAATGCCATTGAAAATATTGGCGCAACAGTGATTTTCCCCCAATTCGTACATATTTCACCACCACTATGGGCAGTTACACCGGTCCGCAATAAATCTCACGAAACTGTATGAGTGCGCTCTGTGCATTTGCAGAACCATGGAACTTCCGACAAACCTTGAACAACGTGTTCCTGAACCAGTGCTTGATGACCTTTTCTGGTAAACCTGCTTTTATTGACATTTCCTTGATTTGGCACTCCGATGGACTGTTGTTGATGTCAAAGTACTGCCTAGAACATTGCGGACTTTAATGGGCGTGGCTTCTATTATACATGTTGCAAAAATCAACCAACCGCAGTATTTTCAGCTGATCGTCGGTAATTCTCGTCCGAGCACGCTTCGCTGGTGAAGTTGAGAGTTGCTGCATCTTAAACGGAAGTATACGGTAATCTTGCTGACCATGAGTATAGCCACAAATGTTAGCGACAAACCTGTTGGGCCATTGAGTGGATTGAAAAATTCTCCCATTCCCGGCACAAATCCACCAAGTGGATTCGGCGGTAGAAACGGGAAACTGCCCATCATGCTTAGCATGGCCATTTGAGCTAGATCAGGCTTTGCTGGATCTGTAAATAAGAAAACTGGAATTCCTCCTTACACAGTAGCCTACGTTCGTCCTGGGCCGCCAAGGGCCTAACACGGACTACGGCCAGACGTTGACGTCTTTAGTTTCGCGTCAACTGGCCGATGTTCTGCCAGCGCCAAGCTACCTTTACCTACCCAAACTAGGACTTCCAAAAAGCTCACCAGCAACATTGGCCTCAGATCGCGGTCGCTTCTCGGGTGGTTCACCATCGCGCGACGATCGACTGGCCGCGGGCGACAGATGATGGCCGTTCGTCTGGGTGGCAGCAGCAACGTCAGGAATCATCTCACAGATCTGATCCGCGAATGACTGAATGGCTGAATCCGGCAAGGAGCTCGAATGGACCATGTCGTAATGCGAGGACAAAGCCTAAAAGGTGAATAATGACTTCAGAATGCATGCGTCTATTCAACGTCGTTGATTGAATTCAGGCTCACATATTCAACATTTCGCCCTATAGCGCATATTGGAGCATAAGCACTTCAAATGTGCGAAAACTATTGTTAGACCCCCCCCCCCTTCAACTCCTTCAAAAACCTACCAAAATCGATGGTAACCGCTCCGAGCATTGGGTGCACTCCACCATTGCCACTGCCTCGGCCTGCGCGTCAGTTAGCTCACCAAGTCGCGACAGTCTCGAGGCAACTGATGGCGACACCGCCGTCAACTTCTCTTCACCAAAGCTCTTCACCATTGTCACCAATGCGGCGGCGCTCTTCGGTGCTGCCAAATCGTCTTCGGCTTCAGGGGTGTTTCCTGGAAAAAAACGACCGTCAGATTCCTCACATCAGATTCGTCTGCTGTTTCATGCCCATTTACCTCCACTTGATGTTGGCTGTTGTTGTGACGCGAACGGCAGCTGTAGCCCTGCATTTTGGCCCATTAACATGTTCATTATATTGAACATCGTCATCACATTCTGTTGTTGATGGGCATTCGATGGCTAAAATTAAAAAGAGGTTTCTGATCAGTTGGTTAAAAGTATTGATCCTGTCTGACTGCGATTGGAAGCCTGCAACTCTTCAAAGCCAGCAAGAACTGGGAGGAATTATTGTGTATAGAAAATTGTGCACGAGATTACAAGATACAGCTCAGTTGAATACCTCGAATTCTATTTCAGAGTCTAGGGTCAAGATTAGGTAAGAGTGAGAGTCCTTTTTCAATTTAGTCCTTGGAGGCGCGCCACACATGTAGTCGCCTTCAGAAATTACGCATTAGATTCACATTTAGAAGAAATACTCAAGGCAGGCGAAGCTTTCTAAAGACATGTTCCGCACTGAACGTGTATGTGGAATCTCTTGAATCGCTGCACCCTTCTCGTTGATGAACCCTCCTTCAAAGATGGCAAGGGAGGGGTGCACCAGTGAGCAAGGCGCAATGGATCAAGCGGCTCCGTCCACATGAATGCGCCTCTCGTGTTCGTGACAGCTTCGATACAAAATTTCGAAGACTGTCCAAAGTTTTTGAAGCTGTTTTGTTATGATAACTGCTGTTTAACGCCGCAGTACGCGTTCCGAATGTTATCACAAGAATGCTGAGTTGTGGGCAAAAGTCGTGCCCCAGGCGGGAGTCGAACCCGCACCTCACGCTTTCCGGGCGAGTGCGCATCACCGATTACGCCACCAGAGCGCGTTTCCCCTCATGTTAACGACTTTTGAGCCGTAAGTTTAGAGGTGTGAGTGCTGTAAGGCTACGGATATAAAGCGTTAAGTCTGGAGGGTAAAAGCGGCCTGGTGGTTGTAAAGGAAGCGCACTCGAGTCCGAAAGCATAGGTGCATTTCGACTCCGCCTGGCGGGGCATGATTTTATGCCCACAACTCAACATTCTATGCCTAACTGTCGCAGCTTGCGCGCCTGGAGATCCTTGCAACCGCTTTTAATCGAAAGATCTCTTTTCATCGCTCTGAGGTTGCTGCTACGATTGTCTGACCAGAAGTGAAACCGCGAAATGCAATTTTTCCTAAACCAAGGCTCACTGATTTAGGTTAAGCGGTCCTACATTCCAGAGGCAGAGAAGCGCGGACTGTTTTACAGGAGACTGTTTTACAATTCTAATTCAGTGAAGGGAGTTTGAGCCAACTCATTTCACTAAAGTAGGATTGTAATAACAGTGAAGTCGCCGGCCAGGGGACGGAATATGACCCTCTCCGATGGGTATTACACAACTATGGAAAGATGGAGCACACTGTCTCGGACGACAGACCTAAACTTATTAGCTCTCTGTGGTCAGCGCTCCCGAAGACTGGACAAACCAGGGTGTTTTCGGACGTCAACCAATCTACTGGGAGCTTATGAAGCCTACGCTTTCCATAGGTATTTAGCCTTCATGATCTTTAGGAGGTCATTCCCAAAAACAGGCGAAGCGTTCTTGTACTCAATATTCAGTGATACTGAAATTATTCTTTTGAACACATTTTTTGGGGGACCTATTTCAAAATAAGCTAAAATGTCCTTATCTTGAAGACGTAGCGTGCTGGCGCGTACAGCTGGCCGCGGCGGCGGAAATAAAAAGTGCTTACCTATGGCTGCTTGACCGGCGAGATCCGAACCCAAACCCAAAGCCAGTTAAGTTTTCCATGCCCTCGCAGTCTACTATCAGTGCTTGCAACATTGGTGAACCACAGATGGACAGAATGGTTCCCAAGTAATCATACGGCTCCCATACGCGCTCAATAGCCTCCGAATGGGAGACGACCGGGAACATCTCAACAGCTTGACCGACTCAACCTCCTTTCCAGTGCCACCGCAAATGAGCTCCTCAGCACTTGTCCCGAGCTGCACTGCTGGTGATTGTGTGTGGTAAGTGTTGCGATCGTGGCGGTAGAGGTAGAGCGCAGCGAGTACGCCGAGCGCACGTTAGAGCCGTAATTATGGACGACCTCCAAACTTGCCTTTAATTGATTTGTTTGAACAATGATCGTCGGGGCTATTGTCATTGCGTGTGTGTATGTGAATGTGAGGGTCTGAGTGTGAGCGGTTGGTGCCAGTGTTTGCGCCGCGCAATGAATACACACACACCCATCCATCCACAGAGCACCCATATCGACCACACCACAATTACCGTAATACGCTATTGCGGCCGACGATAGACGGACGACGATGACGATGATGAAGAAAGCGCTGATAGCTCATCTCTTACGATATCGCGCTACGATGAATCGTAGCATCGTAACGGCTAGAAAAGCTTTTTCATGGATTTCCGGCTCGTATCAAGTTAGCTGTAGTCGTATGAGTTGAATCAGCCTCACCATACGTAAATCAGTAAACGTCGTGGATCCATAATCGGACATCTGGCATGCAAAACCAGTTCACAAAGCCTCCGCCCACGAAACTGGTAGGATTTTGGAGTTAAGGGCAGTATAAAATAATTAGCCGTAGAGCAAATGACCTCGTTTTCCTCTAATTGGGGAAAATAGCCGGTTCTCTACTTTCAATTTCATTTGAGACTGGTAGTAATTACCTACGAGTTACCGCAGCCCCCTAGCAATAGGTTGGGGGGGGGTAGGGTGGGTGAGCCCAACTCAGACAGCCTAACAATCTCGGGTAAAGGCCCAAAGCTCCCGCTGTGGGTGGACATGGCTCAGTTATAACACAGCAGCCGAGGAGATCTGCAATATAGGAGGGCATTTTGAGGAGATCTGGAAACCCACGGGGAAGAGACAATAACCCGTCCCCTTCTAAGTGTCACATGGAGGACCAGCACCAGAATTAACGACCCAACACTATGACTGCTCGTTATGACCAGTTATGTAACCGCGCATTATTGGTGGTTTTATAGCTCATTAAGGTCCTCAATAAAAAACGGGCCCAACACCCTCCCCAAGTGGACAACCACTGACCAAGGTCATCTCGGTGGCTAATTCAGGAAGTCAGGATTTCACAGAAATTCAGGATTTTATTTAAAACAACCATGCTACTCTTCATCAGACAGATAGGCCTAATGACTTCATTTCCCCACACTACCAATTTCCCCAGATGAAAAGACCCACACCCTCACCCTCTCTCTCATCTGAATGGAGGATTTCCAGCATTTCGGGAAGTTTGGTCGCCTATAAACCTACCTCCGTTTTAGTATAAGTAGCGGAGTGATCTGGAAGAATGAGCTGTGAGCTTCCTACTCGTGGACGATGGCTACCACAGTGGATTTGAGTAGTATCCTCCTCAAAGACCATCTGGATCGATCACAAGGCTGCCTAGGGCCCTCAGAAGGTTTAGACATTATTCTTTCTAAGTTGGGAGTGCATGGATTCACATACCCTCCTGAGGAACCATGGACTTCATGAGTCACTGGCAGTTCTCTGAAGTCCTTTGGGCTTCTCCCAGAGATTCTGTCAACCTACCCGCGAGCATCTTTCCCACTTCTAAGGCACACTATTCGCATAGGGTCCCTCACTTTCCATTACCGATCCCTCCATAATTTCCGGAGGTGGGTATAAGTGGAAGTGAGCAGGCGGGGTTTGTGATGATTTGGCGTAGTCGAATTGATTTCA